TATATATATAATATAAGCATTTAAAGAATTTGTATGAAAATATCCCTTTGCACCCTTTGTCAACCAGTTGGCCCCGCATTTCAGATGCAGTGGTGTTGAATTTACTTTTGTTTACAAGACAGCTGAACACTTTAAAACTGTCATGGATAATTCCTTAGCTAATATACTTTGAATTTTGGTGCCATGTTTCCTTGGGTATGCTCAGGAAAGACAGATGGCTTTTGTATAAATGAATGAGATTAATTGTTTGATTGCAAATAGAAACCTGTGTTTTGCATAAACCCCCTTCATTGTCAGGAGGTTCGTAAGCATCAGGGTACAGCACTGTAGGGAGGGTTTGCAGCGTTACAATGAGATGCCCTGTGAGATTTTTAATGAAGAGTAAGGAGCAAAAGCATACTGTAGCATATGGGCATTGAGAAAACACTTTAGCAAAGCAGTTCTGTTCAGTACTTCACTGGGCATGTTTTGTTCTTGTTTGTTTCAGTCATCTATTCATAGCTTAGCTGTTCAGTAGATTAATACAATAGATGTTTGGAGAGGAGTCAGTGTTCCTTCAAAAGATGTTGAAAGTAAAATGGTGTTTGGAGGAGTTGCTATTTTTTTTGTGGAAGCAATTTGTAAGGTCAAAAATAGGGGTCAGTCATCAGGGATCTGTCAAAAGAACCATTTTCAGGCAAACCTAATTTCTAGATGCCCAGTATGCCCTGCCCTGCTCCATCCCAGTCATGTCAGAGTTCCAGTCAAACCATGTAAATGAAGATTGTGAATTCTGGAAAAGAAAATTAAATCAAGAGATACTGTGATATGCCTTATGCTATTTGTGTCTCTCATATGTTCAGTTTGTGTTAAGATGCCCATGAAGCACTCTGCAATTACAAAAAGCAATTGGCAGGTTCCCTTGAGTGTGTAGATACGTGAGCAATAGATTCCTATTCCTCTAGGTAGCTGAAAGCTCTTCAGGTAGTATGGTGAAAATTGCCTCTACTGCTTTGTTAGGGGGAAGGGGCGGGTGGGTGTTGGTGGTTTTTTGGAGGGTTGGGGGTTTTTTTCCAGTTAAATTGATACCAGTGAACGTTTGTGGGATATTCTTCAGTAAGCATTAAGCTATAGATGATGGTCTCTATTACCCATTCTCCCTGATAAGTGTCGCTAAGATGGAAATCAATGGTTTCCTATAGCAAACTGGAGTGTTTGAAAACATAGAGGTTCATCCTATTACTTTCCATTGTGAATTACTGAAGATTTCTTCAAACTCCTCCCCATCTGAGAACATGATAGGCTCCTGTAACTTTAGGGTGTATTAGGGTATAGATGATTCATGCTAAAAATGTCTTTCGGTGGTACTTTGTTTTCTTTTATTTCTAATTCCGGCATTGGAGGTCTCTTAAGGAACACTCTTGACACACTGTGGTGTGCGTTTGCTTGTTTTGAGCAAGCCTGGGCTTCAGTAGGCTAGACACTCCCTATCATTTTGACACATTCTTCTAATATGCAAAATTCGAACCCTCATCTCATAAGTAAGATTTAGGTTTGCTTAAGCAAATAATTCTTTTTAGTGGGTTACAGCCAGCCAGCCACGTGTGTGGATTATTTTGTTTTGTTCCCACAAGAATGGTTTTTTTTGGATCTCAGCAGCTCTCTGCCTAGGCAAAACTGGAAAGCTGAGTCTTTGTATGACTATTCAGTCTTTTTTTTTTTTTTTTTTCCTTCAAAATTTATGAATTACACATTTCCCTCTGGACTTCTAAGACAAAAAGGGAGTGGTTGACCTGAAATAAATAAATAAATCCAAATTTAAAGTAAAATCTGAGCTTGAATGGCAACAAAATTTTAATAAAAAGCTAAAAGTATAATCCGATGCTGGAATGCTGAGAAATTATCAGAGTCATGCCAGCCCTCATTGAAATTCACCCATAAAATTTATTCAAGACTAAATTCAGTGAAGTACTTCCAGACACTGTCTGAAACACATATTTTCTTTTTCTTTTAATCCAAGGCAGCACCAGGTGAGACAAAAGTCTTATCTGCCACTGCATGATCCATTGTTTACTGTTTTTTCAGGGTGAAACTTTAAAAGGATTTGAATGGAGTTAAATGTCCACTTCCCATTCAGTTATGTGCTTAATCAGATTCTGCATTTTTTAGATAAAGGAAATTGTGTTTCCTTTTTATTCTGTTTATTGACTTCATTGAAAATACCTGGGTCCTTAAGTAACAGGGTCTAACTGCAGGACCTGTTCCCAAATTAATTTTGTCAAATTTTCATCCATATACATCTTGTTTTAGTAGGTAGAGATGTTGATGTGTTTTCAAAACAGAATCAATCTTTTTGTGATTTAAGCTGAACATCACAAATAAAAAGGATAGCTTTTTGTGTTGACACTCTTTTCATCTATAGCTGAATATATACTGAAAAGTATTCACAGGAAATCTTCTGTTGAACTGAATGAATGAGTTACCAGTGTTACAGATGTTGTGTATCTGTTAGTTGCTCCTACATCATTTGACAAGGAGAGCGGTAGGGCGGCCTCACTGGAAATAATGGCCGTTCCTAGTGGAACATCCCTTCCTCCCTGTCTGCAACCTGGCATCAGAAGAAATTGTTAGCCTGGGCTTTGAAAATGCACAGCTGCACGTGTGTGTTAACTGCCCAGGTGTTCCCGCTAATTTTTTTTTCAGTATATTTTGATTATGTGTACAGAAAGTTGACATAATATATAAACTGTTATTTAGCCTGAGAACTTGCATACTATTTCTCCTACAGTCTCTCTTTATGTTGGTAAAATATATGTTTTTTTAATTAAGAGGCTACATACCCTGAGGAGGATCATGCTGAGTTAAGATCCTGGTCCTGAAATATTAGAAAGCAGGGAAAGATGACCTATGACTACCCTAGAAGTGTGTGTGTGTTTCTTTGAAATACTCTCCATCTTTTTAAAACAACCCCACCTAACCTGAAAGAAATGCAAACTATTCCTGTTGCACCTATGTCGAGCCAAAGCTCCCTACGTGGAGAAGCGGATTCTGCTTCTCTAAGTTGTCTTCTGCAAGGAACAGTTGGGTTTTCTCCTTGAAAGGCTGTGCTCATAGGTTAGCTGTTCCAAATCTAGAACTGAACACTGTTCCCAGCAAAAATGTTAACATTTGACAGAGGTTGATCTTGATTTATAGGTTACGCCTGCTCTGCCACTCATTCCCGATGAAATTCTAACAATGTGCTGGGGAAATGCAAGAGCAATACAGAGGTGTTGGACATGTTCTCCTGTTCCCCTGCTTGGTTTTGGGGTTGGGTTTGGGGGCAGGGGAAGGGTGTCGGAGAGTGTTGGGGACATAGGAAAGCAAAAGATTTGTAGGAAACAGGAATATGGGCTATTCCAAGGTATTTTTGACTCATTCTTGAAACTGGCTATCTGAAGAAAAACATGATTATTTGTCTTTATTCATTTAGTGTTTTGAGAGTTAAGGCAAAAAACATAAAAGGAATAATTTCAGAAAAGAGTTCTTTTGAAAAGTTAAAATTGGCTGTTTCTTGAATATTGACTTCAGAGTCCAGAGGATATAAAGGTAAGGTTTGCAAAGGTTAGTAAAGAAAAAGGGAGATTTGCCCTGTGTACGGCTGAATTAATGTACAAACTAGTGTGCTTGTTTTGAAGTGCAGTGGTGCTTAGAAATACGGTAGCCCTAAATCTTGAATTCAGTTTTGCATTAAGACTAACAACTTTAAAGTATTAGTTACTCCAAGGGTTGAACTGACTGTAAAATGTAGGACAAATGTCCTTAATTAAGAGATGTAATATATTCTTTTTCAAACTAAATTGTTTTTCTCTATCCTTTCAGGGTATAAAGCCAGCAAGTTTTGAGAAAGTTACTGATCCTGAAATTAAGGAGATAATTGGGGAGTGCATTTGCAAAAATAAAGAAGAAAGGTTTGTTTCAAGTAATCAAGTTTTGTATTAAATAATGTGTATGCAGGGATTTCAAAGCTGTCTGTAGATTTTTTGTTCTGGCCTTTGGGTCTCCCCTGTGCAGGAGAAAATGCAGAATGGAAATACAAATATAAATGATTGCCTGCTTTCCTGCCATATAATGTCAGGATAATTGAATAAATGCTGTTGTTGTGTCTCTCAACCTTTCAGCTTTAAGGAATAATGTCAGAAAGCATCATTGTGGACATGTGAGCTAGCATATTCTAGCACATTCTGGCGTAGCTGTCCGTATAATCTCACTCAGGAGGTTCTGCGTGGAGCATTGAGTGTGGTGGAGGTCGACCACAAATGAGAGACAGTAAATTCAATGCAAGCTGTTATAGCAGATTCCATTGACTCATTAGCCTCTGGATGTGAGGATGAATTGTGCCTTGTTTCCAGCTTCGGTTTTAAAACCTATCTTCTTATATGGGCCCCTCCTAGATTAGTGTGTATACTGTTCAGTATTTCATAACTTTCACACATACAGTTTTTAGGGACCTCAACTGAGTACCTAGAGGGAACCTTTTTTAGTACTCTTTAAGCTCAGATACTCAAGAAAAGTTGAGCAAAGCTATAATCTGCATTTCTGTATGTGCTTATGGTGTATGAATATTGCTGAAGCTTTGTGAAATAGGAAACGTCATTTTTTTCAGCAATCCTCAGTAACACTGGAAATACTATGTCTTTCTGCTAAGAATACAGATGTTATGGATGAACACCAAACATACTGTAAATGTTTTCACCAGTTTCTTGTCACAAACCTCTCTGAAATTGTTTAAGACTTGCAGTATTTGAATATTCTTTATATCCATTGCAGATATGAAATTAAAGATTTATTAAGCCATGCCTTTTTTGCTGAAGATACTGGGGTAAGAGTGGAACTTGCAGAAGAAGACCATGGGAGGAAATCCTCTATTGCCTTAAGACTCTGGGTAGAAGATCCTAAGAAACTGAAAGGAAAACCCAAAGATAATGGAGCCATTGAGTTTACTTTTGATCTTGAGAAGGAAACTCCTGATGATGTTGCACAAGAAATGGTAAAATAAACTTACCCTGACAAATGTATATATAAATGAAGTAGTGCATAAATCTCAAAGGACAGCAGGAACGAGTCTGGTACAGGAACTTCCACTTAAACCATTCCTGGTGTCTAGTTTAAGCAGCTTGCATTGATTTTAGAATGAACGCTGCAGGAAAGGGGTAAATGAGGAAGAACTGATAACTGGAAAACATTGTTTACCAAGTATGAAAACAGAGGCATGAAATGGCATTTCCAGTAGCTTAGGGACCATAGAGGTCTCTTCTACCTTTATGTTTTGAAAACTCTTTTGTCAATTTCTATTAGCTGTTGAATGTCTTTAGATTTGTTTGGAATCTGTTTAGTTTCAGACAACATCTTGAAATAAGTTAGAAGAGTTCAAAAGTTCAATCACAAAATATTCTGCACTGAATTTTTCAAAACACTTCTTTTCATCTTTTCTGTCAGTGTTACTTAGGAGGAATGTCGATGAGGAAAGTCTGTGGTCAGCCACTCTATCACCAAACATAACTAGGAAACTAGATTCAAGCCCACTGCACAGTTAGGAATAAACTTTGGATTTTTTAACAGTTAAGTTTAACTTGGTGAATTTCTGTATCTTCATAACTTGTGGGGTTTGTTAGAAAAACTATTTTGTGTTCCAATTTCACTATATAGTCCTTGAACTCGTATTTTAATGATGTCTTCACTGCAGTTGTTTAGGTTTTCTAACATTATGGAGACATAGAATCAGTAAGCACTGAGTCAAGGGTCTGAATTTTCTTGTGCTTGCAGAAATGTTCCGATTATAATCTAAATCCCAAGGGATCCCATTTAATGATGTTGTCATCATCACTCCTGTTCTTGTCATTAGTTTGCAGTAGGTCCAAATATTTTTCAAACAATGTATTGTTACAGAACTCATTTCATTTAAAAGTTGGTCTGGTACAGTTACTTGCTGTTACATTTTGCATTTAAATTTTTATGGAAATATTTCAAAGTTCTGTAGGTTACTTGCCCATAGTTGTGATATTTTGTTTTGAAGAGGAAAGAATTCTCATAAAAAGTGTATTTAAAAGGATCACTCCCAAACTACTGTGATACTATAGCCTTTCCCAAATCATTTTAAAACCTGTGTTTTACTATTACTTTAACGGTTACCTAAGTGACTGCATATGAAATGCTTTCAAACTTGAGGCTGTTGGGGGGGCAGGCAAAGGGGAACATTTATTCCTAAATGTCTTTTTCTAGCACTTATGAATTGTGAAACACCAAAGCCATGTGCTTTCATCAATTTGTGTTGCTTTATGTGCTGTGGAAGACAAGAATGCAGGAGACCTTTTGAGTATGGGGAATTATTTATCACTATTGATGGGTTTTCAGTAGTCAGGCATTCCAGCCTGTCCAACCAGTGTGGGCAAAAGGAACTTGAAATGTTCTGGTGGTTTTGCAACCTGAAGTTCCCTTTCACAATCAGTGGGTACTGTAAAATAGCATGCCTTCATTAAACTCTAACCATTCTCTATATAGAGATGTAGGAATAAGAATTGTATAAAAAAATTGTTAATGTGGCAGGTTTTCAATGCCTTCCCATTCAGCTTTGTCATGAAGAATCTACTGGGCATGTTAGTTAATACCATACAAGGTTCTCTGGACCTGTGTGGTTCTTCTCTTGAGTAACGCCCTTCTGTTGTTAGCATTTGCTGCATCATCGGTTCAGGAATGTCAGTAAGGTCTGAGGGCATAGGCAGTGGAAAATACCCATATCTATCTGTAGCTGTATTTTAAGCTGCTTTACACCTATTAATTTTAAACAGTGAAAATCTAAGCTGTAAAACTGTCTTGTGTTTGGGCAAGAGCAAAGAATGAAAACCTTTAGATTTCCTCCATGTATGTAAGTGCTTCCAAATCCATGGGATATGCATGTTAAGAATGTAGGGAGAGCAGACAAATTTCTGACAGGTCATTATTAAACTAAAATTCATACCCTATGCTGTAGGAGACTATGCAAACAAATAGCACAAAGATGAATTTCCATTTTATCTGTTGAGCAGTTGAATGCTGAGAAAGTCTGGTCCCCTTTTCAGTCAAATGTGAACAGTCTGCATTTGACTCAATTATAGGCTTTTTCTTTATAAAAGTCAATCAATACTGACTGACTTTACCATTTAAGAGAAGTTAATTTGAAATAAAATTCTCTTGATATCTTTTCCTTCGTGACTTGCTGTGGTATTAAGCGCAGCAATTTGGGAAACTGCGTATACTGGAGAGGTTAAGGCAATAAATTCTGATTTAGGGGTAGTATGGTTTACTCCAGTTGCATTGTTCAAAGAGCATTTTTCAAAGATGGTTTTTGTCTCTCTCTTGACTATTCTCTTAGTCTTTCAAAAAAACAAAAAAAAAGGGGGGGAACCCATTTGTACATCTGCAGTTAAACTTGCTCTCTTCTCAGTGGATGGTAACTGGTGAATGAATTGACCCTATATATATTCAGGTCTTAGAAATTACATATTGTTGTTTTAAAATGCATTAGTGATAGAAGTTTTATTCAAAAAAACCCCATCAAGATCTTGAGTTCCTGTTCTTATGAGGAATAAACATGTAATTCATGTTATTTCAAACTGATGTTTTCTCTGCTAGGAAGAGTTTTGAGTAATATGCATGTGTGCACACGTGTGCACGCACATCGGTGTGCACATAATCTTGCTAAGTTTATGCCTCCTCTGTAGATTGACTCTGGATTTTTTCATGAAAATGATCTCAAGATAGTTGCGAAGTCAATACGTGACAGAGTAGCATTAATACTATGGAGAAGAGAGAGAATTTGGCCTAGGATGCAGTCAGAGGAACGTCGGGACTCTGAATGTCCGGAGAAGTTGAAGATGCCGCATGCACAGCAGGTTCAGGTCACCTACCTTTCTCACACTGGTCACCACGTCCTGTCAGAGTCGGAGGAGCCTGAGGCAGACCAGCATCCCTTTCAGCAAAACCTACCCACCAGCGTCACGTCTGTTGCATGTAAGTCTTGTGTTGGTTTTCTGTGCACACGGTGATGAATGTCCAAGGGTAAAAATCGACAATAATCTGAGCTCAGCAGTGAGATGACCTGCTGTGCATGTTTTTGCACAGTATCTCAAAGAACACCAGCATCTCAGACAGATGCATAGCAATTTTGAAAGAAAGTTTCAAGAAAACCTATATTGTATAGAAATAGCTCTTCCTTCAGTAGCAATAAATGCAGAAAACATATTTTTAAATGGAAAAGCAAGGAGACCTGCTGCTAGACACAAAAAATACATGTTTTCTGTGCCAGGTAGTGGGATCAACACTAAGTTTGTGTGAAACACAGTTTCAGAGCCTGCAGAAGTTGAATTGGCACCAAACTGGTCAGAGTGACTGGGGCTTTTTCAAATTGTATTGGCAATGTGGAGATGTTTATTTAAAAGAAGACCTTACTGAAACCAAAGCGCTTGCTGTTTCTTGGGTTTTGTGAGTTACTCTTGATGGCTTGCCTGAAGCTTTTTGTGAAGCTGTGCAAAGTTCTACAGCAGAAAAAAAAAATCCACCTCTGAATGTTACATGATGTAATTCAAGATTTCCCTGTTTTGTGGGAAATATCAACTGTGGTTTGGTCACACATGTTGGGAGCACCAGACCTTGTGGGTTGACACTGTAATTATTTTTGGGGTCCTTAGGTCATGATGCAGGTGCGCTCTCTGTTCCTCCAGGCTCTCTATTTTGTCCTGAGCTCATGGCCTTGAAGCAAGGGGGTGGTTTGATCTTCATTATTGCAGGTCAGAGTAGATGGTTGCTCTCATTCATCTAGGCCCTGGTAGCTACAAGCCAATGATCAGCCAACTCTTTACATTCAGCTGAGGGCTGATCCAAGAGTAATCACTGGGCTATTTCAAGACAGGTGGATTTACATCTCCTGTTTTAATTCCAAGCACCAATTTTGGTCTATCTCTGAATAAGAAACTACCTGGCTTTTCTGGCAGAGCTTGTTGTTTCTTTGTTTTATTTCTGAGCATCAGACTTATCTCCAGCAAACAGCAAGGCATGAGGAAGTAGTGTTTTTATTTCCTTAAAGTAACTTGTCCCTGTCTCTGTCCCCTAAAATCAACCTTTTTTACCAAGTCAAGCTCTGATACTGAAATCTTAATCTATTTATACTTTTAAACATCTTGAAGGAAAAGTTGCCACACATTTTTAGCTTGGAATATTTGAAATTTTATAAGAATTCTTTTTTTTTTTCTAGCCAGTTTTTCTGATAAACTCTGAGGTACATATTTTTCTACTAAACTATTACCATAATGTTTCTGTTTTACTGTTCTGTTCTGTTCTTACATTTATGTAAGCATATTTAAATTAAAGATACATTATCTTTAGCTAAGAGACAGCTGCTGCATTAATTCAGGTATTGTATAAATTGCTATACAGAGGTCTGCTTTGAATACTAAAATAACCAAGCATGCCTCTACAAGAAAACAAACCTTTACAAGATATAAGAAATGGCCACATTTGCATAACACTCAGAATATTGCCGTATTTACAAAGCTTTTTTTCTGAAGCTAAATTGATCTCATTTAATTTTTTTGGATCATATACTTATTTCATGCTAATTCCTTTGAGAAACACATAATTATGACTCTTTTTGTTTCTAATGGTACAATGAGGCTAGTTGTGGTTCCCATGGTTCTGTTGGACATGAGTTGGCAGAATTTTATACTAAATATAACCACCCCCCATTTATTTCTTATCCCTCAACTTTTAACCAATACTTGGTATTATTTGACAATTCACTATCAGATGTCTTTGAGCATTTTCTTAGTGATGTTAGGCCCAAGACCTCTATAAATTACTGTTATACCAATTCATATAATAATCTGAGGTCAAATGTAAAAATGTAAATTAGTAACTTAATGTGTGTAATGCATGTTGTTCTATAAAAATCTGATCTAAAAATCTAATGACTCACAGCTTTTACTTTAGCACTCTACCATTATACTTTTTTTTTCCTTTGAGGTCTTAAACAACTGTTTGTAATAAAATGGAAGTGTGTATGCGGCAGAAATCCCTGCCGCCTTAAAGTAGGGCCATGTTGACTCTTTTTAGAAGTGAGCTGAATAAATATAGAGGGAAGTTTAATTTTGAAAAAAAGAAAAAAAAAAACAGTTGGGAGAATAGTTTGTGAGTACTAAGGAGAAATGTCATCTCGGGTGCTATTAAAAATAATTTGTTATTTAAAAGCAAAATAAGTAAAACCTTATTTGGAATATGGAAAAAAGAGAAAATGGAAAGTGTCAGAAAAAGAAATAGCATTTAAACTTAGCTGTAATTTAAGTTATTTTTTCTAACTGTATTACAGTTTTCTTTTGATTTTGAGTTTTAAATCTCTGTTACAAGCTATTTGTCTTTTGGATACTTACACAGTCTTGATTGTCTAATTTAATTTCTCAAATTAAGAAAACAGTAGCTTATGCTCAAGAAGAACTGGGCACCTGTACTTTACAGGCTTCAAAAGTAATGAAAAGACATTTTAAAATCAGTAGCACTCACTGGTACAGTAAAAAGATTTATTTCTGTTTGAGCAAAGATATGATGCTTGCCCAGTACCCATAGCTGTGCAATGCTGCAGGTTACCTGGGCAAACACTCTGCATGAGAAACTCCAACAGAGCTCTGAATGGTACTCCTAAATCGCTGCAAACCTGCAAATTATTTTGTTATCTGTTCTTCATCTTGAGGTATTGCTATGTACTCAAGTAGGGTATGATTTGCTGAACTAATAAAGCATGCTAATAAAAGAAAGGTGTTAAAGTCAGTGCATCCCTGGGAGATCTAACTCTAAAAGACTCCATGATCTGCTATTAACATTACAACTGGGGTTTCCTTTCCTTTCATCCTACAAAATCTATAAATGTCTGCAATTCTTAATGTCAACCTTATGCCCTTCAAAGGAAATATCAGTGTGCCTAAAATATCGTTGTGCACAGAAATCCATGGGGATGGTTTTTGGCTTAAGAGAAGCAGTATGTGCCTTTTGTAGAAAATAACATTTGTGTTGTATAATTTATTTATATAATGGAAAGGGCTAAGTTAGTAAAAATGCTAATTACATAAACCAATGTTGACCTTGCTCTAAAATCATTACTTGAACATTTGGAGTTGTTGAGCTTTTAATAAAACATATTGTTCTTTCAGCTGACAGCACATTTGACAGTGGCCAGGGGTCCACTGTTTATTCAGATTCTCAAAGCAGCCAGCAAAGCGTCATCTACTCGTCTCTGCCTGATCCAGTACCTCCTGCTATCCAACGGGTGTATAGCCCACCTCTGAGCGAGAGCCAGGCTGTGCCCCATAGCCTTCAGCAGCTGGGGCACTACCAGCAGCCCTCAGGAGTAAGTCTAAAGCTTTTCGAAATCATTTTGTATCCTAGATCATACTCATTTATACTCTTGTTTTCAGTAGGTGTGGATTCCAGGGCTTGCTTCATACATTCCTCACTCAGCTCTACCAATGCTGTCTTGCTTAGTAGCACATTTCTAGTCGACCTGAAATGTGCGCTGAGTAAATGGTGTCTGGCTAGCTATATTTGCTATTCTGAAGAAATGCTTCACTGGCAGCTGTCATACTTTCAGCAAAAAGGCTTCTTATCAATCTGTTGTCACTGAACTACATTAGTAGCTTTGCAATCACTAGTTTTAAACTCATGCATGTATTTGAGAACTGATTTTTTTTGTTTTGTTCACTGTCAATATAGCCACACATTATTGTTTCTTCATTTTAGAGCAGACTCACTCTTTCTATTGATAAGTTTCAGTAATTTTAACCTAAATGCATTACTTTTTTTGTGATTGAGGGTTTGGCAAGATAATAACATTTATTCATGAAGAAAGTATTTCTTATAGCCTTTTATTTTCTGATGGGATTTCCATATTTTTTTCTTCCTACAATAACCGAAGTAAAAAGTTCCAAGGTTTGAAAATCTCAACAAACACAGGAAAAAAAAGTCTGACTCAAAACCTTCCATTTTCCAAGAAAAAAAAAAAAATCACTGTATTAATCTGGGAGATTATTTACCAAGATAATAAGCACATTACCAGAGCTGTAATAGTGGTTTTGTTAGGCTTATGAGGCTCAGTCTGACATACTGCTTATTTTATCTACTTTGTTTGAGCTGAAATTTTAGAGAACTGCTGTTGTAACAAACCTTATCTGAATTTCTCTTAATTTTTTTTGTTTTCATTTCCGCCGTGGTTTTAATTTGTTTCTTGTTTCTCTATTCCTTTTCTTGGCATTCATTTCAAGTAAATTACCTGCTTTTATGGAAGATAAAGATTCTTTATGAAATTACAAAAATCTTTGTGAAGAGAAATTTCTTTTTCACCCAGTTAACAGCTTTGTAACTTTGTAGTAACTTTGCTTTCCTTGCAGATAATTTTTTGTATTTTTTTTTCCCCTCTGGGTTGAACCAAGTGCCCAGTAGACTATTCCCTTGCAATTATATTCTTGGTGAACAGTTGCAGAGACTCTTAACGTGAGGGTGACTCCTCTCTAAAGTAGTGCTCTCCCTCCTGCAGCCTGGCCTCCCCGCAGTTCAGGCTGCGCCCACAGTGGTGTCCCAGCGGCCCCAGCACTACCAGGAGCCAGCGATACCGTTCCCCATCGTCCAGCCCACCACCGTCACCTCCCTGCAGCTGGGACAGCCGCAGCCAGTGCTGGCCAGCCAGCAGGTGAGAGCTTGGCTGCTGCCAAGAAGCACTTTTCTCATCCCATTCCTTGCCCATGCTCTGCTCCAACCCATAGCTGTAGCAAGTTTGAGGTGTTTGAAACTATTGAACTGCAGCTGGAGAGACTTAGGGATGGGGCAAAGGGCATTGGGTTTAAGGGATGGAAGAGTAATGGGCTTGAGGACAATTGTGTGATACCTTGGAATGTCTTGATGTATCTTAAGACTTCTCTTCCACTGTAGCTTAACAGCATTGTCTTGAAGCCTTGCATTGATTTCAATGTACTATCTTGGTCCTTAGAAATCAAATAGTTTTTTATTAATTTTGTGTTATTATTTGGCACCTCCTTTCTAGCCTTTCTGAAAGGTTAGAAAGAGACTTTTTTGCCTGGTGTCAATTGTCTTTAAATCCTTGGCAATGCTGCTTTTTGACTTGTGCATGTGTGTTAAATATAGTTCAGTACAGGCATCCAGCCAGTAGCTTTATCTTCCACAAGAAGATTCTGTCTCTCTCTGAATTGTCTCCAAATAGTAATTCTTTGTGCATTTTGAATTACCGAATTCCCCCCCAAACCTGTGTTCCTTAAAGGTATTTACGAAGCACCCCTTTCAAGCAGCTGAGGGGCAGCTGTGAAGGCTGCAGTCACCTCTTTGTGCAGAGATGGTGTCAGCCTGTAAGGAATGCAGCCACAGACCTGTACAACATGGTAATTTGTGGCTCATTTTTGTGATTCTACCAAAAGCTTAGCTTGGCTTTGGTAGAAACTGTTGACAGGGCTGTGGAGTGTCTGTATATTTTGTGACTGGCAGGTATCATACCTCTCCAAACCCTTTTAGTTATCAACATTTATCTCACAGGTTGCTTTTCTTCTTTTTTAACATGCCCTATTCTTCTGAAAGCATCAGTATAAGAACAATGTCATTTGGTCTCCTTGAAAAACACATGCTTATGTGAAGTTTTGTCATATATCATGTTTTTTTCTAAAGGACAGGGATATTCTCATGGTGTTCTGAGCCAAAATTTTACACTTTTGCAAATTTAGGACCTCCACCAACAGTTGCACAGATCTCTCTAGTGGCCTCTGGAGCTTTATGCTGACAGTTCAAAATCTGTCGTTTATTTTCCCCCATGAGTAAATGCTGGTTTGGAATAGGATATTTGCCCAACTTGCTCAATTTCTTTCACATGCCCTTTCCTCACAGCATTGCTGTCTCTTGAAATAATTCTACCTCTGATAGTAACTTTATCATTTTACTTATTGCTGTAATAATAATAATACTGTAAAAAGTTAGTCTTTTATTGGGCTTCCTGGCAAGTTAGAAAAAAGAGACAGTATTATTATTACAGAAATAGGTAAAATGATAAAGTTTCTGTGCAGAACTTCCCACCTGCGTGTCTCAGAGACAGAAATACGTCTGGTGTTCCCAGAGTCTCCAGGAATGATGCTCTCAGCAGTGGAGATCTGCTGTCTTTTGTAAATGAATGGTAGGGCAGGTCAACAAAGGAATGGGAAATCAGGGTTAGAAAATTCATCTGTCTAACAGAATGGAATGTATTGATCTTGTGTGAATATTCACTGATGGCTCAGACACATGGGATCAATATTGCATCTCCTCATTACTTTTTTTTTTAATTTGGGCATCTGTGCATTTATAATGTTAAGGTTATAATGAGGCAAAGTTAGCATAATTCATTTGGATATTTTCCCCTACCTACGCCTCCTGCAATTCAGAAGCATTCTGTAAAACACAACTTGAATTGAAAATGGAGGCTTAAGGAAGCTGCATAGTTCCATGAACACAATTTTTTTGCTTTTAATGCAGTGTCCTCTCGAGTCCAAGGTGGGTTGAACGGCCTATGTCAGTGTGCTCAATCCCCAGTTATCTGTGGGCAGCCTGTCCGAGCTGCAGATTAATCCAGCCAGGGATGCTGAGATATCTGAGCTGACTCCGTGTGCTGGCAAGGTTTATTAGCTCTGGCCCAGCACTATGTGAGTGTGACTGTTCCGCTCCTGAGATTGGGCCACGTCTGGCAGGAGTTTCCCATGTTGCAGAGCTGAGGAGCCTGGTGGAGCAGACCTCATGCTGTGGGACAAGTGAGGGCTGCCCCAGTGCCTCTGGTGGGGTCCATCTCAGCCCATTTGCTCTGTCTTATCACCAGTGCCAGGCCAGCTCCTGCTGAGCCACTTATTTGCATCAGTGCTGCCAATCCCTTGAGTTTGGGATTTTAATTAGGTAAATGCCCCTGCTTTCCCAAAGCCTGGAATGGCAGAAAGTGCAATACAGAGCCACATTATTGTTTTTTTTTTTAATGTGGCAAGATGAATACTCAGACAGGACTAATAAATGCTGCAGGAGCTGAGCTGGTGCTGTGCAGAGTTATTCAATGCCATTGTGGTGGGTTGACCCTGGCTGGACACCAGGTACCCATCAAAGCTGTTCTATCACTCCCCTTCTCAACTGGACAGGAGAGAGAAAATATAATTAAAAAGCTCATGGGTTGAGATAGGGACAGGAGAGATCACTCAGCAATTACCGTCACAGGCAAAACAGACTCAACTTGGGGAAAATCAGTTTAATTTATTACCAGTCAAATCAGAGTAGGATAATGAGAAATAAAAACTAAATCTTAAAACCCCTTCCTCCCACCCCTCCCTTCTTCCCAGGCTCAACTTCACTCCCAATTTCTCTACCTCTTCCCCCCAGGTGGCACAGGGGGACGGGGAATGGGGGTTGTGGTCAGTTCATTACACGTTGTCTCTGCCGCTCCTTCCTCCTCAGGGGAGGACTCCTCACACTCTTCCCCTGCTCCAGCATGAGGTCCCACCCATGGGAGACAGTCCTCCGTGAACTTCTCCACTGAGAGTCCTTCCCACGGGCTACAGTTCTTCACGAACTGCTCCAGCATGGGTCCCTTCCATGGGGTGCAGTCCTTCAGGAACAGACTGCTCCAGTGTGGGTCCCCCATGGGGTCACAAGTCCTGCCAGCAAACCTGCTCTAGCGTGGGCTCCTCTCTCTCCATGGGTCCACAGGTCCTGCCAGGAGCCTGCTCCAGCATGGGCTTCCCACAGGGTTACAGCCTCCTTTGGGCACACCCACCTGCTCCAGTGTGGGGTCCTCCATGGGCTGCAGGTGGATATCTGCTCCACTGTTAACCTCCATGGGCTGCAGGGGCACAGCCTGCCTCACCATGGTCTTCACCATGGACTGCAGGGGAATCTCTGCTCCGGTGACCCCCTCCTCCCCCTCCTTCTTCACTGACCTGGGTGTCTGCAGAGTCGTTCCTCTCACATATTCTCACTCCTCACTCCAGCTACAGTTGTGCCAGGTTGGTGGGGTTTTTTTCTGCCTTCTTAAGTACGTTATCACAGAGGCACTACCACTGTGGCTGATTGGCTCAGCCTTGGGCAGCGGCAGGGTCCATCTTGGAGCCGGTTGGTGTTGGCTCTATCGGACTGTCCTGGTTTCAGCTGGAATAGAGTTAATTTTCTTCCTAGTAGCAGGCATAGTGCTGTGTTTTGGATTCAGGATGAGGATAATGCTGATAACACACTGATGTTTTAGTTGTTGCTAAGTAGTGCTTATGCTAGTCAAGGACTTTTCAGCTTCCCATGCTCTGCCAGGCGCACAAGAAACTGGGAGGGGGCACAGCCAGAACAGTTGATCCAAACTGACCAAAGGGCTATTCCATACCATATGATGTCATGCTCGGTATATAAAGTCAGGGGGGATGGCCGGGGAGCAGCGATAGTTGCTTGGGAACTGTCTGGGTATCGGTCAGTGGGTGGTGAGC